GATATACAAATATATTACATTATATAAAAATATTCTATTTTATATTAAAAATTATAATTATATATTATTATACGTATTGTATATTATAAACATTAATAACATTCTCAGATAGAGCCCTCCATAAAAATGCTTGGAAGAACAGACTTACAAACCATATTTTAAAATACATTGAGAGAAATAACAGCTGCAATTTACTATTTGTCACTTTTCTATAATGCTACGTGTTCTGGGAGTACAAACTCTTGTAGTGAAATCAATTAGGTTGGATATGGGACACGAGGAGAAGAAATAATTGGACATGAGAAAAAGGCTGAACAAGAATTGCTTAACATCAAGGTTCAACAAAAGTGCTGCCCATTTTTCTCTGGCCAAGACTTTCAATCACACAGGAAAGAATTATTCCAAATTGGTACTAAGTCTTCTGTAGAGACAGACATAGCAGTTCTGTGCATTTTTCTTCTTTTTTTATTTGTACAGAAACCCAAATGTTATTTACCTGGGACTGGTTTACACTGAATAGATCCTGAGGGGCCACAGACACTAAAAGCAAAATTTTCAAAAATTAGAATGTTGCAGATGTCAAGAGCACAGAAACATAGAAATTTGTCACTTGATCTTCATTCATACTACTGGATCTTTTTCTAGGTGTAACGTTTTCCAGTATTGCCTATCATTATTTCATTCAAACTAAGTCATCACTTTCATTCTTTAAGTACAACATCGTAAAACTATCATGAACTACTTCATGTTGCAAGTTGCAATAGTGCAATAACTGTCTTTCAGAGCAGTGAACTTATAGCTAGGTCAGGGTGTTTTTTTTGTCTCTGATCAGTGCTATCATTAGTAAGGCTCTAGGAATGAGCAGTTAGGACTCTATCTCTTTCAGGTCCTGTACAGATTGTTTCAGATTACAGTGATTTTGAAATCCCAGTTTTAAGGGAGGCTGCAAGGCAGAGTAGCCCCTCACGTTCCAAAGAGCCATGAGAATCAAAAGGTTGTTCTAGAGACATCTCCAGGTTTCATGCCATTGTATAATTTATGACACTTCAAAGAGTATCAATGAATTTGCTAATACACTTGTTATAATGACACTGTCAACCTATAGCCTGGATTATTAGGGGTTTGGAAAACTACAAATGATAAGTTTAGAATCTGTACATATTGTACAGCATTTTTTAAGTCTCAACTGGAATAAATACCATTGTTCCTCTGGTTTGTACAGATAAATGCTAGAGTATACCAGTTGAAGTTGCATCTCTATTTGCTTCAGGCACAGTAAACTAAGTAAGGGGCTCATCATATATAAATTATTTCCTGAATTACTGCATATGTTTTTGCATTTTTGTATACCATTGTGTACAGTTCTCTTCTGTGGGTATTTCATGCCCAGGGGGAACGTGAGTTCCATTGACATAACACCAGCATTGATCTTCAGGCACACATTCCTTTGTCTCTTCATTATAAACAGGCTTCTCCTTAGGGCATCTGGGGTAGCAACCTGTTGGTGACCAGTAGAACAGTATACAGGGTGTAGAAGTATAAACAGTTAACTCAATGATAAGGATACTTTCTGAAGGTAAATGATTCTCAGAGAATCATAGTGAAAGAAATAGAAAATTTTCAGTTCGCATTAATCCTTCGACAACTAGTCTTTCCAAAAGACTTAAATCAAACACTTCTCATTAATTCAAAACCCACATGGACATGTTCCTGCATGATCTTCTCTTCAGGTGATCCTGCTTTAGCAGGGCAGTTGGACTAGATGAACTTACAGCCCTTACCAGTTTAGTCATGAAAACTAGGGAAGCTGTTTTTTTCTAGTTCAAGATCTTGGAGAAGCCCCTAATGTATATTAATTTCTATGGGCACCTAGTAATTTTAAGATAAAGAAATAACCCGATTTTTCTACAGATACTGAAATGTCAATATATCAATAATATTTTTGTGATGAATATGGAAGTGGATTCATTAACAAACAAGTTTTCACTACATTTCTTGAAACATTAAACGTTGTTTATGTGCCTTTAATAGACCAGGTATCTCCACCCCAAACAGAAGATTTATCTGCATATTTCCATATCCTTGGAAATATGACACAAACTCCACCTGCAGGGGATTAATTATCTGTCAATTCTCATCACATTTTTCATCTACACTTTAAAAAAATTATTGTGTCCTCCTTCCAAATAAGCTCTCATGAAATCCATTTACAAAAAGTCCTCGTTATATCGTACTGGAGTTCTAAATAGCCTATAAACTGAATCACCATGTAATTAGTTGTACTTAAAAGTTACTTCACACTGCCGCACTGTTGTCCTCACAGTGTGCTTTGCATTTCCACTGAAGATAAGAAACAAACAACCAAGAATAATTTAGAAAGAAAATTGGATATATTATAATCCGCCTTCTGGCGCTTTCCAAATCTTTCTAATAATCTAAGACAACCTATTTCAAAACATGGAGTCAATTTTTTTCTTTTTTTTAATATTTTGGTTAGGGTTTATTTGTTTATCTGTTTTGGTTTTTTGCTTCCAGTCCAGGTAAAAAAGACTGTGTGGCCAAAAATGTGGTTGTTTTCTCCAACTTTATTATGTGGTAAACCAGAAGATATTTGTAAAGCCATTTGCATTCTTGGATCATTCCAGTCTCCGTAATCTGAAACTCCAGTTATCAAGCAGAAAGACTCTCACCTACTAATATTATATCGCTACATACTTTGACAAGTTCAATGGGATTTCAATGGCTTGTGCATCCTTTAAGTGGGATGAAATGCAAAATAACCTGTTTTAGCCTCACATCTTGGTTCTTAACAAAAAGTACAAATGAAATACACTAAAAATAGAGGTAGCCCCCAGTAACCCTCTGCCAACATTTTGTGGTGTCCATTAAGAATCCAACATATAGGAGCATCAGTGTTCTGATATCAAAGGCATTTTCCATCGTAAAGATAGGAGGATGCTGCACATTAATAAATTGAAGGCAGATCTGATGCACAAAGAATTATAAGGTTAAAAAAACCCCAACCATCAGAAACTTGCCTCTTTGCCATGTAAAAAGTTTTTTCTTTTGAAATGCCCTTAGAATGGGATGCAAAATAATAATGGTGCAATAATCTTGCATGCTTCAGGATATTATCCAAGTGGACATCTAGTTTTATGGCTGACAGCAATGTAACTATCACCCACAGATGTTAATAAATAATAAATTACATTATAGGAAATATTTATGTAAGACTGAAGATAAATTCAACATAATAGATTGAGGAGTATCTTGTCAAGTTGACTGACTATTCTATATTCATTAAATGATACCTAAACAAAGTTAAATACATGAAAACAAAAAAATAGCAAGGAATTTTTTACCTTCCAGGTATGGTACTGAAAAGTTGGTGCTGACATTATTAATCATCCTGCAGGTCGTGATATTACTGCCACAGGGCTCATAGTGCCATTCGCACTCATTACGAGGGTTGTAGTAGTCACAAAATATTGCTGGTGAGAAAAAAAGAGAAGTGGATTAAAAACATGGTTGCCAGAAGCTACGGTAGCTGTCACCAGGTCTTCAAAAGTACAAGCTAAATGAATCTACATGTTAAGCCAGCAAAATTTCTCTTGAGGTATAGGACCTGGACTTTTAGTGTTGATTTTAAATTAAAATGAAAAGCAATTTTCTGAGAGTATTTTTCTTCCCTAGCTAATATCAAACTCCTAAGAACTCTTACAGTATATTCAAAATAGTTTTACCTTGCCGTATCAGATGGGCTGAGAGTCACCTTTAGAAGGCCAAGAACAAGCATATGAGACATTATAAATTTAACTTAAAACAGAATTTAGCTTAGATGACTACGGAGAGAGGAAGGAGCTTTTATAAAGTTATATATCAGAGCTGACTGAAGCTTACAACTCCTGTTTCTCTGACTTCTTACACATAAAAAATACAACTAGCTTTAATTCCAAATCAGATGTAATTTTGAAAATTAAAAAAATAACATTTCTGCCACTTATAATCTCAAAATTTTGTTTTGAGTACTTTTTCTGGGTACTTTTTGGGAAAATATTAATTGAAATATTATTTTGCATTATTTTACTACATAGTGGTATGAACATTAGCAACACTTACAGACACTGCTTAGTATGCTCGATACTGATTAGGTTCATCTGCATAGGAGTACTTCTATATACCTTTGCTAAAAGAAAAGTTCCAGTTCACTAATTATCAAGCAAATTGGAAGGATGACTTGAAACCTAGCCTTAATACAAAAAAGAAAGGGAAAGGAAAAGGAAAAGGAAAAGGAAAAGGAAAAGGAAAAGGAAAAGGAAAAAAGGAAATTAAAGAAAAAAGAAAAAAAAGCTAGGCTGAATAAAAGATAATTTAAATACACAAATATACTAGTTCTAGTTGTTCTCTGATAAGCTGCAAAAATAAATTGCATTGCATTAATGATTTATTTGATAGGCTTTCTGACAGCAGCCAGAAAGATATAGTTGTGTTTAACTGTTACTCACGACATATATCAGGAGTTCTCCAGAAAACACAGGCCTCAGCTTTGGTACATTCTTGAGCATATGCAGCAACTGCAGAACAGAAGCACTCACAGTCTCCACCACTGTCACAAGAGCAGGCATCATGAACACAAGCTTCATAGAAAGGAATTGGGTCCACCTGTTGGGGAAAGAAATGATGCCCCAGTTCAGCTTCAAATTAGTTTTCAATCTATTAAGCTCAAGACATCTCTAGAGATACAGGAATTAAGCTGGGCAGCAACGAGACATTTTCTAAGAATTACCAAATCTCAAACAAACATCTTAGGCTTGAAGCTGCCTAATCTATTTTATGTAATAATAGACTTAAAGTAATGTAACACCCTCATAATTCGCTATGACTGAAAACATAAAATACTAGTCCTTAGCAGTGCCCACATTTTCTAACAGAGTGCCATTTTACTGCTCTCAGAACCAACTTGGATTGATGCCAATGAAGGTTTATCTTCAAGCAAGTTTTGCCAACCAAGCAGTGAGCAATAGGAGAAAGGCTACACTTCAGAGCAAATACAAAGCAGAGAATTTTGTGCTTGTCAGTTTGAGTGTTAGCAAAAACATTTCCACTTTTTTGCTTGGGAGTGCAAGAGGAGAAACCTGGACTGGATTTCAGCTGCTGAATAAATCAACATGGCAACTCATATTAAGTTAATAAAATCAGTAATTCTGTGTGATTTTTTCATTGTGAGTTAAGAACAAACTGTTGTTAATAATACCATACTTCAGGAAAGAGACAGGGAATAGAGAGGTACGCTCTCTTGTTCACTGTGCTCTGGAAGCTGTGGACTTGGCAGAGTGTATGCTATGACAATTTGGAGGCAGAGTACAAGCAGCTAAGCCTGTCTAATCTTCATGTTGTCAATGAATTCCAAGAAGATCCCTTCTGTGGGTTGAATATTACAAGGAGCAGTGGTCTCTTCAACAGGCACCTTTCAAGTATAGTATGCATTTCTATCAGAAGACAGGTCTGATGGTCACAATGCTTTTCAGAACTTATGGCACTGACAGTCTTCCAACAAGAGATGGTGCAACTGCAGCACACTCAGACCTATTCAGGTTAGATTTATGAAGTTAACTTGCGTAGCAGCAGCAGTGAAACTGGTGACGAATATAGACTTGTACAGCTGCAGAGCACCACTACTGACACGGTCCTGTTGCCACAGATACTCAAACTGCTTTGAGTAAGGCTAGTTGAAATGTGGTGACATCTGCAGTTGTACTAATAGAAGATCACTCTATTTAACCATCTCTTCATTCATTTCTGATGATCTCTCTGTTTTTGCAGTAACAGAAATCCACCGTGCTGTCCCACCACTTACTGCCCTCTACAAACCTTGGAGTGACAAATTTTAAAGACTTCACTCTGGATGATGCTGCATTCTTTCTCTGCCCAGGACTTTCGATGTGGTTTCACATCACAGGGCTTAATCTCTTCTGTGACATCCGGGCACATGGAAGACTGTTTCCAGGAATTTCCAAACTTCAGAGCATTAGTTTCCTGCAGCCCACTCCTTGTTGTAAAATCATTGTTAGATTTGTCATCGAAGTTGCCACAAAGACCACACAGTTTGCCCTGGAAAAGGAAATTAACATTTCCACAGCTTTTAAACGTACTATGAAAGTGAGAAACAGACTCTAATAAAGTAAGAGCAAAACACTGACATTTAAAAAGGACACCTGACTCTCCGTGTAAATGAAGGATTTTCATCTTTACTTTCAAATCTTTTGTACAGAAGTGAAAAATTTATTTGGCTGTGTACTCAGCAATCCACTCAGCTGCATGTCTTCCCTCCCTGAAATCGATTGTATCTAGTGTATTTCCATGTCTCTGTGGTCCTTTATCCAACTCATATCACTGAAGAGTGGCTAAGCCTCTTTCAGCTGAGAAGAATTAATTTATTTTCCATTATTCTCAATTTATCATAACACAGCTATCAATATAAGCCTGACGGAATTTCATTCTGCTCAAATTTTTTTTTTAAAGCTGCTAACATAATGAGCACCATTTCTTCATCCATGCAAAGAAAAAAAAAAAGATGGGACTCATTTTTCTCATAGAAAGAATCTAGGAACTTAACTACAACAGTTAATTTTTGGTACTGTTATTTAAGGTACATCAGCCTCTTCAAACAACAGAATGTCCCTGTTTATACAACCCCACAACTCCTCATTCAGCCCAATGAATTCAGTACTCTATAATTCAGGATGCTGATTTTTAGAAGTCTGAACCACCTCCATACATTGCATAGGGAGTTTGGTTTTAACTCAGGGCTGAGATTCCATGCAGGCTTCCAAGTGAATGCACAGTCCGTTCACGTCCCCTGAATTACTTTGGATACTTGGCTCTCAATACTCACAAGTCAGAATGCCTTAGTTGTTCAGCTTTATTGCAATCATATGCTAAGCATCTTCTGCAATGCATTGTGATGGACTGTAATAAACTCTAGAAGCACCTCTGCAAGCTGTGATAGTGATAATGCATGATAACAATCAATGTGCAGAGGAATTCAACACAGAGTCAGGATGAAATAACATTACATATTTCCTTGGCTTATTAATCTATTAATATTACTATTTCAGAAAAAGACAGACAGATCCTAACTTTGTAATCGGGGGTCAGTTTGATGAAAACAGTAGTCTTCTTATCCCAGATAAGCATCATGCCATTGCTGGCCTCGATAACAAGGTAGAGGCCTACTGTCCTGTTCCAGTAACGCACATCATCACCAATATCTCGTTGAATTTCTTTATATTCTTTGTTCTCTAATTTCAGTTCGGTTTTCTGAAAGGTATAAAAGAAATATTGTAACACTCACTTTTATGATGAGATAAAATATTAGACACAATACAACTCATTCTGAAACAAACAGCTCAAAGTCTGGGATGACGTTCTATGATGACAGAAAGTGTCTTTGTTCGAGAGAGGTTTCATCACCTGAGAATCTACAACTTTACAGATTAATCTGATAGGGCCTCTAATCTTTACTTGTTATAGCAGCTTTTAGGGATGTGGCTTTTGAGTGTTACTTTTTTTTAAAATACTTGAATATTGATATATACTGAGTATCATTACTCACCCCTAGAAACATTTTAATAGCCTTTGAACAGGTGACTCCTGTAGTTCCACAAGGGACATTCTCTGTGATGATACTGAATGAGCCGCTGGAGTTTTTGTCACCACAAAAATCCTATTAAAAAAAGAAAAAAAAAACATAAGAAAATTAGGTAGAATATTGAATTTTTAGTTAAATCTAATAATAATTACAATCATTTAAATCTTCACAGTGTATAAATCATTACTGCAGCTTTATATGTGAAATCCTACATTTTTCAGACTCATGATCATATACACATACATCTTTGTGTACATATAAACAGTTTATACAGTCGCATGTGTTACAAAACTTGAAAAACAAGTAGGACAACAAACTAAAATTAGGAATATACATTTAAATATAAATATCTTTATTTTGTACACTTAGAATTTGATTTATTTCACAACTGATAATGAGTTGTTAGCTCTCGCTATAAAATAGTCTTGTTACATACAATTTATGACCACTGTATCAGAAAAAAAAACCATTCACACAGCTTGCCTGCACTGAAAATACAGAATTTATCTTGGCAGAATGTGTAAACACCTCAGAAACAATGACGGCAGTCAATAAGGAATGACAAAATGAAAGAGGAAAGTAGATCTTCAAGGCAATCAGATGCCATTTCAGCCCTTCTGATGAGTATTACCTGAGTAGCCACATATTCACAGCTCCCATCAAAGTCATAGAATTTTCCATCAAAGGTGATATAATGGCCACTTCCGTATATCATACAAGTCCCATAGCACACATATTCAGTGCAGCTCCAAACCCCCTTTTGGCAGGTACTAGAAGAGAGCAGAAGAGATGAATTTTCAGAACCCACCAAGAATGTGCTGTCTGGAAAACTGCAGAACAAAGTAGCTCCCTGGTAGAATGTGATAATGCACGCAACACCTGTTTCAGTGTAATGGAGTGTCTTGTCTCAGCTTCAATAGTTTAGCCTGATTTTAAGATCCTAACATGATTCTTAACTCTGACCAGCTACATTTTTCAGATCTGATAGCATTTGTGTTTAAAAAACAACTCCAATTTCCCAATCAGAGGTGCCTACTGAAAACAGAGGTAGCTATTACCCCCGTACTTTCAGCATAATCTGTAATTCCACAGATAACAAAAGATATCCTTGAAGAGAAAGGTCTATACTTGCAGCCATCCCAGCCATTGTAGTACATAAGCCTAGACATGACTATTAATTTATTGCATGGAATATATTCTAGAAGACAGTACAAAATTATAACTTACCAGGTGTTGCAGTCTACTGTTATCTTCTGTCCAGAAGAATACCATAGGTTGTTATGAATGCATGGGCAGTCGTTCTCCTCAACACAGCCCCCTCTCCCATCATCAAATAGACCTTCAGGACACACACAGCCTGAAACGCACTCTGCCTGGAACTAAGGAATATAAGGAGAAACTGTTAATTTATTAAAAATTACTGCATTTTTTTCACTTCTTCACAAGCACTCTGGTAAAAACAGCATTTCTAACCAAACAGCCTAATATTGATTAGTTTTATAAGGTTTTTCTTTCTAGGTTTCTAATGTTTTTCTTTTCTATTTTGATTGTCTAATTGGTTTTGATTGTCTAAGAACCCAAATTATATTTCAATTGGGAGGTATGACTCTACTGAAGACATAGTAAAAAGGAAAAGGAGAGGGAAACCATAAGGGGAACCATCATTAAACTGGCAAGAGAGTAATATCATTGGGGAAAAAGAAAGGAAGATTCAATCAAAGAGAAATAAACTATTAGTTACAACTGCATTTTCAGCATTGCACTCTATAATTTAAAGAATATAGAATAAAGGAAACATGACATGCAGAAAAATTGAATACATACATAATCAGTTCGAGGAGTATGACAGCTAAGTTGTACAGGTGTCTGGGAAGTCCACTGTGGGGATGCATTGCAGTCAAAGTAGATCTTGTTAGAAGAACATTCTGTTGCATCTGAAAGGTACATTGTTGGTTTAGATGAATCAAGAAAAGGCAAGAGAAATGTGTGTAAAAGGTTGTAGTAACTGAGGCAGAGATCTCGGGGTACGTCTATCCTCATGAAGAAAAGAGGCTTAGTGAAGACAGCACAAAGTGAAAATGTGTAACAGTTTCACAGAAAGAGAAAAAACAAACAGGCAGAACAAATAAGTTAAGAACACAAATTGAAAGTGCAGGTTTGGGTTTGGAGGTTGGGTTATGGTTTTTATTTCATTTTACTTTATAGAATGTCACTTACTTTTCATTCGTATTTTCACTGAAGTGCACTGGATCTTTGCATTTCGGCAAACACTAGAAAAGAAGTGAAGTAAGAGGATTTTTTTGTTTTTAAAGTCAGCTCAGTGTCTTCAATTTGTATCTAAGGATTTATTTATATACATTTGAGAGTGTTTATCAGAGACACCTTGCGTAATTCATACTGGTACTTCAAGGTGAACTCTACTGAAGTGTACTCATGGATTTTCACTTGGAGAAAAAGTGTAGCAAGATCTTAGGCATAATGCACAGAAGGATTATGTTTTAAGGAATGACAGTTATTCTAATAATCCTTAATATTATGCTTTTTGATGACTCAGGAAACAGATAATAATGAAAGAGATATTAACGATAATTTCAATCAAAGCCTTCAATTGAATACACAGTATATTTTCATGCCTATTCAACTCATACACTGCAAATTTATTGGCCTGTATGCGTCATCTGCCAGATGAGAGAAGGAAGTATTTCACAGTTTACACTGATGATTCACGCAGCAGTTGTCAGAGTCCATGATAAAAATATCAGAATCATGACAGTTGCTTTCAAAAGCCTGTGCTACAATAAAAACATATTAAGGGGACCTTCCTTCAGTAGAAAACACAAGCAAACTGTCCCTGACAAAAAAGTAAACAACATAAAATTATAGCTGTCCTTTTATCTTCCTTTTACACCTCTGCTCAACAAAGCCCTATTAACAATGCAGCTGCAGAGTAATGTTTATCTGCAAAGGCCAGTACTCGCACTTCCAAACACAGCTACACTTCTCAATTATTAACAAAGTACATTGCAACAGGATGATGCTTTGCTCAGTATGAATATAGCTTGAAACATATTAAATATGTTCATTAAAGCACCAAAAACACCTAAAGTAGCCTACACCTAATAAGCAAATTTTAAAAGGGCTTTTATCCCCACAAACAAGAAGCCACAATAAAACATACCAACGTTCTCCATCTTTTGTGATATAATCCCCTGCTTCCAGGTATGATCCCTTGTAATAACATGTGCATTTGGAGATGGGCACACAGGTACCCTGGTTATCCAAGTATGTATTATATGGGCAGCCACAGCCATCCACAGGAGCAAAGTCTTGCAAACAATGCTTTTCACCATCAGCAAGGGAACGACAAGTTTGCTGGCACATTGTAAGATTGTAAAGGAAGATCTGATTTCCTGGACAGGCAGATACTTCACGAGCTGGAGGGAAAACAAGTAAACTGATAAATAAGGGAGGCAGGATGGACAGTTCTACCTTGACATTCCCGTTTGGGTTCCTCTGGCTGTGCAGTATGTAATGGTAAAAATACTTCCTTAGATTTTACTGAGGTACAAAAATCTCATAAGTCACAAGTATTGCTAACCTAACGTTTTTTTACCACTTGAAGGCTTCTTTTTATCTGCTACTAATGGTTACTACTTTCATAGCCATATATGTTTCTCGTTTCATTATCAATCAGAGAGACTACAATGTAATAAACTCCTAGTCTCAACTACACTGTACTGTTGATGAAAAGCAAGCATAATGATAAACAAAGGCACTGATAAGCAAAGACAATGTAAAATCCATGATGCCTGGGATTCCATTAGTCAAAGATAGAAACAGCATTATATTATTCAAACTGGGGAAAGAAGGTGAAAGTGAAAAATATTGCTTTCTACTTTTAAATATATCATGAACAAATAACAGCTAACAAATATAACATGAATTAGCAAACATTGTAAGCATCGTCTCTTTTAAGCCCATTAGACATCTCTAAAATATTCCAAATCCCTTAACATTGAGATCACTGACAATCAAATTCACAGAACCTCCTTATTTCTGGTTGCTAATTAATTCCATGGGAAATACAGATCCACTACTTACTGCAGACACTTTTTCTCCAGCCTCCTAGTATGATCCCTTTGAAAGCACAGGCTCTTGAGTAAGAGGACAAGGCAGCACACAAGCATTCTTCATTGTCTTCGCAGAGGCAGGTGTCATATTTACATCTCTGAAAAAAGAATGAAAGGGTCACCAAGTCCACAGAAAACCAATTGGCAATTGGAACTCAGTTGTCATGAAACATCCCATGTCCTGTTTCTGTTGTTGTATTTATTAATTCCCATGATCAGAGAACAGTGGAAGGAATAGGCAAAGACAAGAAACTGGAAGTGCTGCTTCTTTTCATACACAATGAAATGGTTTGGATGCTTATCCTAACCTAAGCCAAGCCTCTTGAATGTTTAAAAAGTAGCCAGCCTCCTAACAACACCTTCCTTAAAAGATTTTGATACCATTCTTTCTCAGTTACAACTTAGAAATTCAGAGATCCATAAAAATTAAAAATCATAATGGCAAAATATTAAGCAGATCTATGAAGATCTTCACGAAATGTGAGCTCAGACTGAGTTACGGGTATGAGCAAAGACTTAGGAATTTCTTTTTCTTTGTTCAGGTAAGCCTCACTTACCACTGAACAGTGATGAGCACAGGGGAAAAAGAAACCATGGAGATTTTGGCATGAACATGATTTGGTGTTACATTCCAACCAATACAGGAAACTTAATAAATAGTTACTTTTTTTTTCCTGACTGAATAGCAACTAATGCGTCCAAAGGGTAGACGTAAATGTCCTGTGCTCGCTTGCATCTCTTGAATCTTCTTTCCAGTTCAAAAATCCAATCCAATAAAAATGTACATTATATACAAAACACAAAGAACCAGAAGAACAAATTTAACCTTTTCTTAAGCAGCACTCCATAAGAACCTCATCATAGGAGATACTTTGGGTGCACGTTATGCTGCCTCAGTTAATCACTGCAAAAGCTTCACTGGCTATTATGGACAAGGTACTCAGTAATGTTTCAGATGTTTGAACAATGATAAATGTCTATAGTCATTCCTCTGAAATAAAGCACTACTAAAAAGAGTGTAAGATTACAATACCTTATAGTATTCTGAAGGATCAATGATTGAGTGACATCTTTCAAAAGGACCCTCTGGTTTTTTCAGCAAAGAACACCAATGCTCAGCATAATTTGCTGGAAAAAAAGGAGAAAATGACATTATATCATTATTATTCATTACATTCACTTAGATTCCTGGTGCCATGTCCAGTTATGTTGTCAGATAAATGCAATGCAACAATGAAATGAGACAACTAGGCACTATAGGGAGTGGAGAAAGTGCATGCAATCACTGTACATATAATTCTATTCTCTGATTCAGTTATCTAGCAATAAACACGCAATCATAAAATCAAAAATCATATCTTACAGCTGCAACTTGTCTACGTGGAATTGTGACAGCTTTTCCATTTGGGGACCACAAAGCTAAGTTAAACATAATGATAGATAATACTACAAAATACAAGCTGCCTTTGCAGATAATATAAATTAACAACCTGGTTTCCCCATCTTCCAGCTCAGGAGTCTTCTACAATCACTCCCTAAATTTTCACTTCAATTTGATGGGAAATCAGTGCTGGTATGTATGCACACTTGCAGAAATTAATGATTAATTTGACAGTCCTCAAAAAAAACCCCCTCAGTGCCCCACTAAAACCTTTACACTCACGTTGCAGTAATATACAGCAAACACTGCTCATTCTGGCAGAAACCAACCATCTGACTTAGTGTGCTTACCACTTTCAATGCTGAGACTGCAGGGGTCTTCCAGCTTTTCTACCTGGTCTGTACAGGTGGGCTGAGCTTTCCATGTGTTAGCAAATGCAGATCCTGTAGCTTCTACCAGCCCACTGCTAGTTCTAAAGTCATCACCTTCCATTCCATTAAAGTTTCCACAAAGACCTATTGAAAACGAAAGTAAAAATGATTACTCTTTCTCATTCTAAAAGGTGAAAGAGAAAGTGATAACTGATCACAAACATTAGAAGCAGAAGTTCATACAGCTCATTATTCCATCTCAGTACTAAAACATACTCTAAGTACTGAAGATTTAGAAGCTCTATTTTAAATCTTTAACCTCTTGAGAAGAATAGTCTTCAAGAAGATATCTTTGCCTTAGGAGACCAATACCCTAACCTATACTTATGCTTTCTGCAGATGTTAAAACCACAAAATGCACCAAAAGCTCAGTTTTGTGAACAGTTAAAAATTAAACTGAATACAAAAGTAAGGAATATTCTAAGAAATGTTCATGTACTGGCACCAGAGTGATATGTCACTTCAATATGAAATAATAAAAATGCATTTCCAGTTTGCTTGAGTCAATTCTCTTCAAATGTTTTGGTTTCTGCTTTTTTAGTTTACTCCTCTTAAATAAAAAAAAAATAGCACTAATTATCACCCATGTAAAGAATACCTGACTGGAACAGCATAGCTTTGCTTTGTTTGACTAGACACTTGCCTTGAAGTTTTCCTTGGACTGATTGATCCACAGTTGCAAACAGCTGCATTACTGGAAACAACTGGATCTGCAGCCGAAGTCCAAAAGCAGTATGTACAATAAGGTAGTAGGAAGATGGCTTGAATACTGAGAAGCTGGCTGAAATAAACAACAAACCAGGAACTATGCAGTTAACACACATATAGGCTGCCGAAAGTAACACTTCTTACTAGCTTCTAAGGTATCAACTGCCATGAAAACTCTCAGATCAGGATCAAATGAAATTCTTTTTTCCTCTAAAAATCACTGGCCATCTAGATAGACTGCTGGTCCTCGCTAACTTAGCAAGTTGATTATCTATAATCAATCATCCACTGCTTACAGAGTCAGTCTGCCCATGAAATTCTCAATGATGACTATTAAATCACATTCCTCCCCAAGTTGTTCCAAAATGTAACAAATTTCACATGCCTCTCTTCCACTGTGTCTTTGAAAAAATATACCTGCACTTGAGAAGTCAGGAGTGCAACATGTCACACACAGGGCTATGACCCTTACCTGACACATGAGGCACGTTCACTGCCATGTCATTCAGTAACACACTGCCGTCTGCTCTGAAAACCACCACCTGTATAAGGGCAGAGAGAATCAGTGAGGTTCCAGGTACTGAGAGGAAAAGGAACCGATAACAAACACAAAAACAACAACAAAAACGGGAGATATTTTGCACCTTTAGACTGTGAACTTAAAATCTTTGAAAGGAAGAATATGTCTGCAAACTGATTGCAGCAGCTGACCTGCAGGATACAAGTAAATTTTGGTCTTGCTATTCAGTGTTCCACTTATATCTCTCTACAACAATTTATAGCAGTAACAAAATGCAAAGCTCATTTATATTGGGCATCTTGGTTTCAGCAAGTAAAAGAAAATATTGAGCCTGCAGAACCTATAACAAGTTCCTATTCCCTATAAAAGCATGTGACACAGCTTCAGCGTAATGGTTAAGTGTGATTCTGGCATGTTGAGACAGTAGTTTGTCTAGCTTCCTCATAAAATGCTGGTCCATACAAACAGAAACATAAAATGATGGGTTTCTGATTTGGTTTGGCTTTGTTCTACTTTTGCTGGCAAGGAAGTAGAAGACTAGAAACACAGCAGGAAAATTATGTCTACATTTATGCAAAATTCTGTATAAATAAAGTATACATATTCTTATAGCCAAACAGAATACTAAAATGAATGAAAATATAAACATTTAAGAAGGTTGGATTGTATCAACAGACAGAAATGGGACCTCTTCCAAAAATAACCTAAATTAGATTTTTAAAATTATATCTGAATAAAGTAACCTCCTGTCTGGGGTGCCTCGTCTATCCACAATAGTGACTCTAGAAGAATTAGTTACTGCTCTACAGTAAAGGAAATACAATAATTTTCAACATATCTGGCAAAACAGAGAGAACACTTACATTTTTTTTGTGATCTACTAGCAGCACAACAGTCTTCAAACAGGTCTGCCTCTCTGTGGAGCCACAGGGAGCTAGCTCTGCCAGGAGAGCATGACTGTCATTTACAGTACCCTACAATCACAGGGAAATAAATGTCCATTAGTCCAATCAAACATAGAATCATAGAATGGTTTAGGTTGGAAGGGACCTTAAAGCTCATCCAGTCCAACCCCTGCCATGGGCAGGGACACCTCCCACCAGCCCAGGCTGCCCAAAGCCCTGTCCAACCTGGCCTTGAACACTGCCAGGGAGGGGGCATCCACAGCTTCCCTGGGCAACCTGGGCCAGTGTCTCACCACCTCACAGGAAAGAATTTCTTCCTAATATCCAGTCTAAATCTCCTCTCTTCCAGTTTAAGACCATTCCTCCTCGTTTTATTGCTACCTGCCCTTGTAAAAAGTCCCTCCCTGGCTTTCCTGCAGGATCCCTTTAGGAACTGGAAGGCTGCAATAAGGTCCCCCCTGAGCCTTCTTTTCTCCAGGCTGAACAGCCCCAACTCCCTCAGTCTGTCCTCATAGGGGAGGTGCTCCAGCCTCTGATCATCTTCATGGCCTCCTCTGGACCCAATCCAACAGCTCCATGTCCTTCTTACATTGGGGGCCCCAGAAGTGGTTGCAGTACTCCAGATGGAGTCTCACCAGAGCAGAGTAGAGGAGCAGAACCATCTCCCTTGCCCTGTTGGCCACACTTCTTTTGATGCAGCCCAGGATGCTGTGCCAGCTCATGTTGAGTTTTTCATCGACCGACACCCCTAAGTCCTTCTTCTCAGTACTGCTTTCAAGCCATTCTCTGCCCAGCCTCAGCCCAATCATCTCACGAGATGATTTTCAAAATAAAGACTAACGTCATCAGTTACAATAACGATTACTGTAGAAATTAGCTATTAAGACCACCATGTCAGCACTGACTCTGGAAGCTGAACTGTCTTTCAAAAAAAATCAGTGGTATGGTTTTCTAGTTCAACAAGATATTTGTAAATCTCTATAAGAATGGTCACCAGATATTTTAGGGACAGATGAATGAAATAGCTGCTGAGTTCCTTTCCCTAGCTGACTTTGACACTCAGACACAGAAACAGCTATTACAGGTCTGGCTGAGGGCACCTAATTCAAAGAACTTACGATTTTTGCAGTCTACCTATCCATGCAGCCAGAGTTATTCTTTGATTTCTTTATACAGGAAGGACTCCACTGGACAATGACAGCACACATAGTCCACTATCCAACTAAGTTATCAACCCATTGCATTAAATGCTCAACTTCCCCCTGATGGAGAAGCTTTCAACATTTCTACTTCCATCATCCTATAAAAATGAAATAAAGTAACAATACACAGCTGTTATGTATCAGCAAATAGACACCTGCATTTACAAGAGACAAGCCCTACAGTGCACAGTACCTTGGCCAACACATAGTAACAGTCTCCGTGGAAGGTGTATTTCTTCCCATCAAAGGTGGTGATATGGGAACCTCCTTCCACTGAACATGTGCCTGGACAGGGTAAATCTTTGCATGACCATCTGCCCGAATCACAAGTGCTATAAACAGACAAATAATAAAAAAAATGCTTGTAGATATTGTAGGAGAGCGCTGAAATCATCCATATACCTAGCAAACAGCAAGATATCCCCAGGTGTTATAAAACTATATCTTTGATCATTTCCTTAAGATTTCCTCTCTGAGGAAAAAACAAATGACACAAATAGAATAAAACTTTTCAGAAAACTGGTTGTATAGACATGCAAGATAAATGTTAAGTTCTGAGTGCTTTCAAGAAGTCTCCTATGACAAAGTGGAAGATTGAAAAACGCAGACCGTTTACAGTCATCTGAAGAAAGGTGTAAAAATGAACATGACCCTTACCATTCTTCACATTCATTGGTAATGCTTTCTCCAGGTGAATACTTCTTTCCATGGAGTTTGCAGTGGCACTGGCTAACAGGAATGCAGCCTTTTTCAGTAATATCATCAAACACAGTTCCTGTAAAGCAGAACAGTAAACTATACCAGCTCTTTCTGAAATAAACCATTTCCACCAAGGAGAAACTCTGAAAGCAGAGGCTGAGATTATCAAAACTGTGAAGAATACTGTTTCTACTTTTTGTAATTCAAGACACATGGAAAATACTTTTATCCAACTTGAAAATATAAGTCTGGCCATTTATATAATACACAGATGAAGTATACAAGAACAATCTCAGAATTATACATGTGTAGATTTTCAGACCCTCAGGCCTACTCTGTAGACTACCATCGTAATCTTTTTTTCCCTGAGGTTCCCAGTAAGTCTGAGAATTTCACTCACTGTCCTCAATTAACACTCTCTGGGCAAAAGATGTCCATTGTTTCAGAATTATTCAACCTAAAATACATGACTTTCTACATATTAGCAGAAGTCCATTTGTTGAGAATTAAAAAACAGATTTATTACCTGTCATTTTGCTACTACGATTTAACTATAAAATAATTGATTAATTAAGTAATTATGACCTATTTTAAAAAAAAACAACAACCTTATAGCTATGTTCCCGTAGTGGGGAAATAATGAGCAGGAATATTAATTTTTAAGATATAATTTGACTAATTTAATATTTTCGTTATGACCTCCTTTGCCAAAGTTCTTGGTTTTGTTCCATACCCAACACCTAGAATAATACTTGCCTTCAGGGCAGAAACAACCGTCCATGTAGTGTTCCTCACAAAGGCTGCTGACCTCCAAGTGTGAGCAAGTGTCCATGCAGGGTGAGCTGCTTTCTCTATAGACCATGGTATCAGGACAGGTCTTGGCTGAAAGAATGAGAAAGACACCACCAGTTATTTGAGTGTGAAGTCTATTATTCCTTACAAACCGCAGATCGTATCCCCTGCTCCCCTCAAGCCAGCGGTGTCCCAAGCCAGACTCCACCTGGCAAAGCATGTTCATCTGTTTTTGAACTGGTTTCTCTGCTTTTTATATTTTTTTCTTTTGGTCTCAAAGAGATCAAATTATCCCAGTCATCTGCAGCATCAGACTGCACAGTTTTTTAATGGGAATAGAATTTCTACTTGCTGAGGAAAATTTCTGAATAACAAAGGTAATAGAAGAAGAAAACAGGAAGGATATTGTGTGTAGTTTGTTGCACTACTGGTATGAAATGCATAATATGTGCCTATAGTTTTGTAAAGGAGGAATGAATGTAAATGTTTCACAGTGCTACATCCACAGAATGTTTTTTTGTATAATTTATACAGCTGCTTACGGCAAAAGTTCGGTGTCCTCCATTCACTCGGCCGGCCACCCGCATGCGAACACTGACGAGAATACTCAGAGATGGTGCTGCAGAGGCAGAAGGAGTCCTCATTTCTATTACATGCACACTTGTCTTGCATGCAGGCTTGGATGTACATTTCCAAATTAAGACGTAGCCGACAATCAGCAAATGCAGAGGAAGTCAGCAACCTCTCACACTCATCACGCTAAGGGGGAAGAGTAATAGTATTTAAGAGATTTGTAAGCACCTGAGCTTCTAGACACTTCCTGTCTTGTCAAAAAAACTGCTGTCTTCTGAACAGCAACAATTACTCAAGAAAGGAAGAAGAAACCATTCACCCTAGAAGCTCCTCCCACACTAACTCCCCGTAGCACAAGGATGTCTCCACACGCCCACGCAAGTGAAGTTCACCACTAGGAATACTCACATGCCCATTACAGCTTGGAATAGCCTGAGTTTCATCAGGATCTTCACATTTGGCATTGGGTTTGTTGATCTTCTGTAAATTCCCGTATGTAATTGAATTGTAGCTTGCATCTATGAGAAAAAAATTACAAGGAGGACTTGCTGAGCCACAAAAATAGACAACAAGGAGCATCTGCGTTTCTATGGTATCAAATATGCCTGTTAGACACAGGTCTCTACTCTGAATTATGTTTATTATGCCTAAGTGTGCTCAAAAATTTAGAGTGGTAATGAGAAAAGAAGGCCAGTAGAGAAAAGAACAGGATGGTTCATCTGGAATAAAATAACCTTAGACAAGGAATGCAGCACTACTTATTCTGGGGCAATCACAGAAATCTCTGAGGTGAGATTTTCTCTCCTGTAATGCTCCTATGCACAAAGCTTATCAGCCTGTCTTCTGTGGTATCTGTCAGCGTGGTAGAATGACTCACCTCCATTGATAAACTCATTGTAGATTGGAATGCCATTGTAATCCCCACAGAGACCACATGTATGGTTATTAAATTTGCTGTCCAGCTCCACCTAGGTAATGGAAAGAAAAAAAAAACCCAAAACAATAATAAACAGAAAATAATGATCTGGAGCATGAAGACACTCCAAGGCAAATACATTTACCTGAAAGGGAAGTTGCTAAATTACAGAAGTGATGGTGAACCCAGGCAGCGATTGCAAATTAATTTGTAACGTAGTTACTAAACACACAGTTAGATGCAAAATTAACACAGAAAAAGTTACTGAAGCTCCTGAAATTCAATAATGGCATTTAACACCATGGTTACTCTTTTGTAATCATGTCTTGTAACCATAAAGATGAAAAGGGAAAACATTCTTAAAATCACAGGACTTTCCCCTCCCCCCCCCCTTTCTTTTCCCCCACTGTGGTAAACTTAGAAAAGTTGATGATGGTAATAATTAAAAAAACAAATTAAGGAAAATGGAGATTGGACTGTGAGGGTGCTATAGCAAAAACACTAGAGACTTCTCAGAAAGCTCCTTTGCCCTTTCTTGAAGCCAGTAAGATCATCTACATGCCGTACTGCTACCTCTATCACACTGCAGAGAAAGCAATGTTATATTTTTAAAATAAGGTACTATAAGTACCTTGGAAGGGTCAGGCTAACACTAGCTCTGTTCAGTTCCTGAGATTTTACTTCAGTTCAGTATACAGTAGTTTCTTAAGTCCAAGAAATACCAGTAAAAGAGACTTGGGTCATACATACCATCAATGCATCTTCCTGATTCCATATCAGAGTCAGGCCTAATTTGGCATAAACCTTGGTGTAAATGTCATTGGTCTCAATGAGCAAACCAGAGCTGTAGTAAGGTGTCTTCACACTAGGAAGAAAATCAGAGAGTTTACATCAGTACAGAAATATAAAGGGTGACATAAGGTCTGTAATAAGCCAAATACCCTAATAAATAGAGAAACTAGTCTCTCTCAACCTGCTTCTAACTTCACAGGATGTCTTGTTTTAATGAGTTATAAAATCCTCTCTTTCTGAGGCCTGATGTGATTACACGTTGCCTTTAAAAGGCAAAGCAATTTCAGAGGCAAAGCCTCCCCAAGAGTATGAGCTCTTTAAGAAAAAAGCCAAAATGTCAGATATCTTCAACTTAATCAAAAGATAATCTATTATTATTGTGGTATTAACAGAGGATATACAAACACTCACTAATAATTTACTTCAATGAAAGAATTAACAACATAAATGGATGTTTTGTTTACCAAAAGATACGACAACCATTTCAGAGAGAATCAATATTCCTTTGCAAGGATCTTCCTCCTCAAGAGAGAGTTCAAAAAGCACAGGCAGATACAGGAACTGCCAACATAACTTTGAAAAGAAGGGTGCATGTTAAGAGAAATTCAGTAGTTTCAGTAGTTAGCTCATCAGTTTTCACAGCAAGGCATGTTAATGTGACAGAAGATATCTCGCAGAAGGCTGAGCATAGATGTTTGTGACTGGCCAGATCTTTCTCTGGTTCTTGTACATCTGTCTTATGGTACACTACGTAACAAGACATACTGCTGAAATTCCTTCAGCAATAAAGGGATTGTGGCAGGCAGCCTCATCCTATAAAATCTAAAGAACTAGAGTCTGTTCGAACAGAAGCAATGTATACTGGGATCTTGTTGAAATAACCAGTTCATTTTCTACTGATTTGGCCATATAGTTGTTACCTATCAGGATTCGTGTATGTCTATGCGCATCTCTTAACTAGTCTATTGGGAGAATTTTATTTCCTAATTTCGTGTCACTGGTGTTTTTCCAGTTATTTTGGAATTTTCAGGCATTCAGGCATTTTTAACATGGCCAAAAGACTTACACATATAAATACTAGATGGGAATTTAGAAGTCATTATTTCCACTTTTGGCTGCATTGTTCATCCTCTGGACAATGAGGCCTTAAAATAACATGTGTTTGGAGAGGGATTATAATTTGAACGTATTTTCATTGCAGTGGCTTCCAAACTTAAGAGCAAAAGCCGAGTTCCGGAAAAAACCCAGACCTTCAATGACAATAGAAGTATTTTTTAAAAATTATGCTAAGACATATCAACTGCCAGTTTCTTCCATCTTCAGAACTATGCCTTAACCGATGAGTTGCTGCAGTTGTTTCAGTGTGTGCATATACACACAGTGACAGGATAGGCTAGTGATAGGAAATGGCAGGTTAAGACAGTACTTGGCACCAGTAATGGTGTCAGACTAGTTCCTTGTTTGATCATGTTACAGGAGGAGAAAAATTCTTCACAGCCCACTGTGAAGAAGTACATATTGCCACATACAAACTGTTAATTTAGACATACATTATATCTGTTATAATCCCTTGAGGAATGGCTATTGGACCTTAAAGGATTATTTATGAAGATCAGAAAAAAACCAACTCTCTTCTGCCACAAAATAAGAGAAAACGACCCCAGAGAACGGATCTTCATTTTCGAGGATTTGCTAGACTATCTGCTAAGGGATCTCAATGGGATGCTGTAAAACAAATGAAGCTATGTCATTTTAGGTCAATTAAAGATCTCGCTCATGGGCTGCACTGTTTCCTGCAGAACCAGAAAAAGAGCAATTCACTCAGATCTCTTCCTGACTTATATTTAAGTTATCTCTTATGCCAGTGTAGAAGTGATGATTAATACTAAAGCCCCTCCTCAAAGCCATTTTTATGGTGCATTTCAAAGGGCTTTTTTTTTGCCTGTGGAAATGCTTGTAGCAGTTACCTTAATGGTACACAGACAGCTGTGTAAAGAAACAATCCTGCTTTCATCTTCCCAGCATATTTCTCTGAAATACTACTACAGTAAAGGAACTTACATCCGCCCATCCACGACAGCCAGTTTTGGTGTGAGGTACACTGTAAAGTCCTTGATTGTTATCAGGATATACTGGATCTCGGGGTGGTCGTTGCTGTTCAGAGCACGCTGAATGTGGACAGAGAACTCCTTGTACGACTCTCGGCAGTCAGAAGCAAAATTATACTCGCAAACGCCAGGGAACTGATACATGTCTCCATCAAAAGTTTTGAAATGGTTGTTTCCCCAGGTGCTGCAGATGTAGTGGCCATGGTTTCTTGTCCTTCCTTTTAAGTGTTGAAAAAGAAACAGGCATCAAAAAAGTGAAATGAATGAGCCAGAAACAAGAAAATGTAAGTGTTGCATTACACCCTAGAAACTGCTTGCAATCACATGCCCAGTGATTCTGCAGATCTCAAGTTTGAGCAAGTACCTGCCTATTAAACAGAAGAGAGGTGCATCTCTAATGGAAAATAAGACAGTAACAAATACTGCTGAGACCTGGGAATATCTTATAATCACCACCAAAGGTGAAGAAATTCTCCATGAGGTGGGAAAATGTAACCCTCTGACCACTAACAAGCTGGTGCATCAGTGCAATGGGGCTGCTTTGCCAAGCATAAGAATGTATTCCGAATCACAGTATTATTTTAACAATATTAAGTAGTAAGAGCTATTTTCTTCCCTGATGCATGATGGACTGGAAAGGAAATACAGTTAGGAAACCAAGGAAGTACCGCTCCTGTTCTGGAAGACAAATAGGTTAAATGTTATGAAAGGACATGCGCACAACAGGAGTTCTTAAAGAATTCCTTCTTTTCCTGACAGAAGTAGTGATTTCTATTATAACAGAACAGAAATCCTTCAGAAGATAGGTCAGAAAACTGCAGTAGGAGAAAAAAAAAAGATTGGGGAGGGGTTGCAATAGCAAAAGTCGAAGATTGTTATATTTGTTCTCTTCCCAGCCATCTATAGCAACAAATAATGCAAAATAAGACAGTCTGATAAATCTCAAGACGCTGTAGATTAGAAGTAAAAATAAACGCTGAGCCTCCTTGGGAAGCTTGCCAAGGTGACAAAAGCACATATGCCACTCACCTTCTCTAGATTTTCTTGTAGTGTTTAATTTGAGAAAGCAAAACTACCAAGGGGACCTCTAGGTTACTGTGCATTGATGGTATCAATCATACCATCATACCAGATACATCCAGCCAAGTTGGCATGCTTCTCTTCCCAGAAGGAAGCCTACAGAGATCCTCCCAGAGCTCATAGCTGGGTTACCAAATGCAAGATAATGCTTTCCTCCCATTGCTGAATTCAAGATGCAGCAGACCAAGGTCAATAACCCAAACCTGATCACTGCACAAAATTCAACACCTACACCTCCAAAAACAGTTTTCGGTATAAGAGCTCCATTTCAACACTTCAAACAAAGCTGAAAACAAATAGAGTACATCAGAGCTTTTACAGAAGGATTATTAATGTCCTGAATGTCAAAATGAGCTTTGTCCAATGTTACTACCTTTACTTATGAAGAAAGTATTTATGTCATTCCAAAGTAATGGAAGGGATAACCATCCACTTTCTTCATTCCTATAACAATGAACCTCCAAGACTCTTATAGTTACTTTCTGTCAAGCAGTTGCCATACCTAGGAAAGTCTTAACACGTGGAAAGAAAAGTAACATTGAAAGTATTTTCCAAGTACATCAAACTAGAGATTAATGAAGTAGATATAGGTAATCTCTCCGAAGAGAACAGTATCTACTTGCGTTGGCTGAGCCACATAGCCTCAGTATTGGACAGTTTAAGAAATTTAAGGCACATTAAAACTTCAGTGCGTTATTTAAATGCACTGCCTCCTTCTACCTCTGCAGTGGCATTTTAATTCTCTCCTGCTTTTCCAGGAGGCAATTTGCTAATATTTCTATTCTAGAGCTTACCTTTTCTTATTTCATTTGCATAGGAAAAAGCCAGCCAGAAGATAAAAAGGCTGGCGACTCTTAGCCCCATGGTGGCTAAGGGGGGTGAACTGGGAATTCCGCTGAAAACTTTTCCTTATATAATATCTACTGATGCAACTGATTCTATCACAAGGGAGGAGATACAAAGGGAGGAGGAAAGAGGAGGGGTAAAAAAATAGGCGTGATATTTACAGAAGATAAGAAGTAAACAGACAGGTATTTTTCACCATAAATGAAGGAATTCAGTATACAGGAACCAGTATAATATTGATTCAGTAATCATGCAATTTTTTATTGCCCTATTTCATCTACAGGATGCTATGCTTTTAAATCCTTCAAGTGCTCATACCAAGTTTAACCTTCAATAACTCCTATAACAAATAGTGAATTTTGGAGTGGCTGAACAAAGAAATCCCTTGAAGGAAGTTTATTATGAGATGCCCTCAAACAAGGCCTTCAAAGTCAAAGGATTTTTCATTTTTCACCATCACAAAGAATGATTTCTGTAAAAATTTAAAGACGCTGGTGAAGCTCCTTGTAGACAACAGTAACCCTTACAAATAAAAATGTTACACTATGCATTGTAAAATTATTTTGCAAGCAAAACAATTGTTGGATTATGTTGGATTCCTTTCATATGTAAAGCTCTGGGGGGTGCCTAAAACAAGATACAGCCCATACTGCATTTTGTGCCCAAAACATAACTGAGATGGGGTGACAAGGGAAGTTCAAGAAATACACAGCAGAAGAGATGCTCTACCAAACACTGTCATAGTGCAACAGGAAGTTCATCAAAAAGGTTGTAGAGACTCTCACAACATATTAAGCTTTAGGGAAAAAGAAAAAAAAATGAAAAAGGGGAACATGTTACTGTCCAGACCGAGTAACAATTGTTTCCAGACAGAAACCCCCTAAACAGCTCATTCTTGGTTACTTTCTACATGAACAGTAGATCTGCGGTCTACTTTCCCACAGCAGATCCTACGCTGTAAGGTCAGCTTTGCTTTGTGCAAAGATGAAGAGGGTCATAGGGAGAAGAAAGCAGAGAACAGAACCAGGAACGAGTTCAGAGTGCTGCTTCAGAAATACAGAAGATGAAGTATTCAGAGATGTTAGGTAACACTTCAGAGATGGTGTTTCTGCAACTCTCTTCACAAGACAAAACACAGGATCCTTGAGGTAAACTACACTTACTTCAAAGGATCTTTTAACACGGCTGCTTCATAGCACTAACTTTTCTTCCTAAAGCTTCCAAGCCAGGCTCTGCATTTTCTCATCAAAAGTTTCTCTAATCCTCTTAATTGCTCAGAGTGTTCCTTACTTACATTACTTAAATTACGAGTAGAACTTTTCTATTTTGTAAAACACAAAGAAAACTCTTCACTTAGCCGTTTTGGCTGCTTTAGTCAACTGAAAATATCCTTTTGTAATAAAGGCATAGTCTTTAGCTGGTTTATTTTTTTTGCTGCTTTTATCAGCCTAACCTCAACCCGATCATCTTCTTGTTTTCCCTCAATACATCTCAAAAGGTTTTAGATTTTCTGCTTTTGCTATTTGAGGATACAGATTTGCACTTCTCTAACCCTTACATAGGGTATCATTCACTCAACACTCATGACTGAAATTAAGTAGTCACCCTTTTCTCCTTTGGGAGTCTATTACTAGAAGAATGTAAAATCAATTTTCATTCTTGGAAATCGAAATAAAAACAGCGATAACCAGGTAGAACAAACCATCTAGAGAAAAAAAAAAGAAACACTGTCTACAGAGATCTTTCCCTGATAGTTACTTTAGCAGGTTTAACTTCTTATGAAACCTCAGAGACATCTCCTGTCTTGGACTTTTCTCTCTTTTATGCCACCAAAACTCTTTGATTCCCAAAGGACTTTTTTTGAGCTTTTCTTTTCCTTCTTGTGGTTTTTTTTCAGATAGTCTCCTGTGTGGAACTACTATTGCCACCCCCCCAAAAAAAAACCTCCATGACATGATTCATATACAGTCTTTGCGAACTGTAACAGCAATTCCATGTACACAGCAGACCTGGTCCCTTTTTAGACTAGATTGGATATGTATGCTCACAGGTGTAAGTTGGAAACTTCCATATTTTCCATTCAGGTTTCTCTGCCACAAAACTTCTATATCTCAGCTAGACTATTTTTTTTTCTTTTTGAGTGACCAACAACTTCTTAGTGTCCCTTCTTTGGACATATAGGAAGCTGTGGCTTGCTGTGATATCCTAAGCTGGAAAATAAGTGAATGCAATGTGCCTTTGAGCACTGAGACCACTCTAACAGAATTTACACTCAAGCTTACATAGCTGTGCTGATCTGAGGAGAAGCGAGTACGTATCTTTACCATCACAATTTGTAAGTAGCTGTACCGTTTGCTAGCACTAGGAAGCGTCCTAAACTATACCATCTCTGTTTCCTTATTGCCAGAAGGGTAATGATCCTGTCTAGCAGCTGCTTTATATGCCTGTCAGAAATAATCAGTATTTGAGGTAGACAGTCATAGCCTTTTTATTTCATGCTCAGCTACCTTACAGCTGGTTGGGTTACACATTTTAAAACAGAAGAATCTTAGTGCACAGAGAACTCTGCATCCATACGTACGCATTAATTTATTTGCTATAATCTCTTTGACAACTTGAAGTAATCAATTCTGAAGCAATCATTTTTGGAAAAAGATAATTCTGCTTTAGCATTAGCATCTTTGCTTTCAGCTTACATCAGTTCTCTATATCTGAGTTGACTAGTCTGTGGAACTTCATGCCATTCCTTGCTTCTGGTCATCTTAGTCAGAAGTCATCTTCTTCTTTCCAATGTCAGTGTTCGTTTGCCCTTAATACTAATGATACTGCTGCTTATAATTTGCATGCATTTCAATCTTCTTGCAGTAGGGATGCTACAACTGAGAACATATGGGTAACTTAAGCCTAACTGGGTAAAAGCTGTTCAAGCCAGAACACTGTTCACCAGAACAAACAAAGAGAAGGAGTGTTTTCATATTTAGGTCCCGCTGCTGTGTCTTAACAGAGGTAGTTTTGTAAAAGTTTCTGAAGCCCATGAGTGGAAATACAAGTTCCCATAATCTTTCACTATATGCGTGACCTAGGAGCCATAACACCAGTGCTATAACTGTAACAACAATAGCAACAGGCAATGCTAAAATTTGAAGTTAAAAAAAAAAAGTTGATTGCATGGCAAGTGTGTTTGTTATAGCAGCAGATGCAGCAGGAGAGATAAACGTCTTTTGACTCATAACTGTGTCAATGCATTGAGTGCTTCCTTACCCTTAAACTTTTATGAGACTATTTCTAATCATTTCATCAGCGTAACTAACTTTCAATGTTCATATTAATTACAGTGTAAATTTATTTTGCAGTATAGTTTCTGTTAAAAAGAGAACATACACGGAAGATTATATTCGTTCTGACTCACACTGCAGAAGAAAATGGCCTATACGGAAAACTTGTATTATTTAAAGATAAAATTAAACAGAGATCTGGCTAGTCTTACTGTGCTAGGAAGAATAAATGTTTTTTCAAGAATTTGGAGTCTGTTTCTATCTGTTAAGAAACCAAGAGGAAATCTCCTTGCAGTCTTGTCACAGCAATCCCAGGAGGACCACTGTACAAATACCTCAGAAAGTACATTTATACCTAGTGACTGAAATTTTTTCCTTATCTGCTTTTGAATTCCTGCCTTGCTGCTGATCACAAGCTGTCAAACTAAGCAGCAATGTTCTGTCTGTGACCTTGCTCTGCAGAAGTAGCCATACCCTAAGGTATTCAATTTCTGATTGGACTAATCTCAGCTCTACCACTAATTTCATCGCTGTGACCTTGTGAAAGTATTTGGATTATTGGCATTCTTTTTTATTCAAACAAATACAATAGTGTAAAGTATATGCTGATGCTAGCTGGAGTATAACGTTCTTAAATGGCCTTCCTTAAATGGTTTGGTGTAGAAATTTCAAGATTAGCATCCATTTTCCACTCATAATACATACTTATTTTTGTTGGTCCAAGGTTGCAAAACATTTCTTTCTCTTTCACTTAAGTACAAATGAGGATACACATGACATGCAATTACTGGAGATTAGGAATTGATGTAGCAAGTAATAACTTCCAACAAGCAAACTTTCCTACTAACACTTATCTTCTAGAAAACGTATGTCTGTGAAAAGCCTCCGCATGTCAGCTTCTATATCAATACACATGGGAAAAAAATTTACTGTTTAAAAAATATGAGGAGAGTTCTTCTTTGCTCAAGCAAAGGATTCACTACGGGGAATTGGACAGAGTGAAGAGCAGATGACATAGAAAAGATGTCAAGGGAATTACACTCCACATTCCTTTCTCTTTAGAAATTTTACCCCAGTGGAGTGGGATTTTCCAAATTTCTATTTTCTGTCTAGGAAACACTGTGAAGAAAAATATCAGCAAAATGTTCATTTTTAATTCTGTCCTCTGAAGGTTCATTTTCTGCAAATACAGCTCACTAAGAAGCTGGGAAATGTTCCAGGCAAAGCTTCTGCACCTAAACCTGTGTTCTTTCAATGGACTTCATATATCAAGGAGATCTTAGAGAGAGTTTGAACAAGAAACAAAGTGAGCATGCATGCTTTAATTGCAATTTTCCTCTACAACTATTTTCTACTATCTCCTTATCTCAAAATTCCTGTTGACACTGATGATGGAATGGAAGCAATTTTGCATTTACTTAATATTTTCAGGTGCCATATGGGAAATCAGACTCACTGCCACAAGCAAAACTAGAGAGCAAACCCTTTGCTCTTCCCTTCCTTTTCACAGCTGTATATTGATATGGCCTCCAAGTCAACATTTGCTATGAGGGGTTTTTTAGCTTTCAAAATCATGATTTTTTAATGACTCTCCAAATATCACTCTAAATGACTGGTTAATGCAGTATATTCTCCTATCTTGCAAAATGTCCAGTCAGTCTACAGATTGGCTGATAGATTAAACTTCTCTCATTTTGCTCAACTCTTGATGGAATGGCTTACTTTGCGGCACATAGTCAACAC